TCATCAAACATCAACATGGCCAAAGCCATTGACGACGAGGGCTGAGGTAGCGGCAGCGGTGAGTTGTTGATGAGAGCCGAGGCAGTCAGCAGCGGCGAGTTGTTGATGCAAGCCGCGGTGGCGAGTCGTCAATGAGGGCCAACGAGAGCCGTGGCGATGAGTTGTCGACGAGGGCCCACGAGAGCCGTGGTGGCGAGTTGTCTTCGAGAGGCAACTAAAGCCGTGGCGACGAGTTGTCGACGAGAGACAGTCCGCGGAGGCACGTACCTCACCCAACGAAGTAGTGTCCGAGTAAGGTAGCCTGCGAAGGCGCGTACCTCACCTAGATCTAGTTTCCTGTAAGATATATATACAAATTTTATAGTTATTGATATTCAAAATATTAAGTAGGAAGCATGTCCCATGCATGTAAAATAATAAGACTGGAGCAGATCCCAATATTATGAAAGGCATGTAAAAATGTTCGCGTCTTCCTCTTGTTAGGTTGTGTAAATGCCCCGAGTAGCTGACTCGTATGTGTAAGCACTTGTACCTCTGGTGTATGGTTGTGAGGTTCATGACCGTGACCATGTGAGCCGTGTGAGTAAATAGTGTGTCACACGTGAGTTCACATTACTCAAGTATTTTTGTAACCGTTAAGAAAAAACTAGAGCAGTCGGCACTGTACGAAAAAAGATAATGCGCGTGGAGCACTTGTTATATACCCGTTAAGTGTAGTTTCGACTATAAGTTCGGAGCTGTACCAACTATGTTATGGCCGCAGAGGCGTATGTATAATATCCAGAGATATATGAAGATTAAAAAATATTTAGAAAAAAATTAAAGCTTGACTTAGACTGATTCGTGGCCGAGTGGAGGAGTCGACGAGCCGTAATATCCGAGTAGATGGATGTGGAATCGATGGCTCACTTGAGGTTTGATACAGTCGGACGGGGTGTGCTGTCCGGGTGTCACCGTAGGATGACGACGGGAGACGAGTGCCCATTCGAGACCCACAGCATGCATGGGCATTGGAGTCGGAGTTGGCCTTGATATAGTCGAACTTGGCATGTCCGAGTTGGAATCGAACTCGGCGTGTCCGAGTTGAAGTCGAACTCAGTCGTCGAGGCAGAATCAGCAAGGGCTGGTAGTCGGTCGTGGTATGCTTGACGTGTTCGTGCATGAATATACACATATACATTGGCCTTGCTTGCTTCCTCAATTTGGACGCCTCCCGAGCTTGCTTTCTTGTTTGCTTGTGGTCCATTGGGCATCTGATGGATACTGCAGCAAATCTGACTTAAACTGTTGATCTTAGCACGTGAGAGCGTTGGACTCGGGCTGTCGCTAGCCTTCACGCCGCATCCGATGCGAAATCAGGCCTTTTGGACAAAGGCATAGTCGATTCGGAGTATCTTGGCTAGTTGCCTCGAGACATGAGTTCTTATTGCAAGCCACCTGGCGCGACACGCCGAGTTGCCGCCGAATCCGAATCGTTGCGAGTCCGTGCTGTTGGATGCCTTACTAGTGCGCCGTTGATGAAATGTCGTCGCAAGGATCTGAATTGATGACGACTTGATGTGGCCGACGAGTTGACCGTGTAGAACGACGGGGAACAACACGGGGAATTCGGCTGCCATGGACGGCGTGGAAGATACATGTTGATCCTGCCGGAAAATCATGTTGTCGAGGTCCGTCGAGCTCTCGATCACGAAGTCGCCGAAAGCTCCTACCTAGCGTGCTAACTGTCGGTGTTTGATGACCGGCAACTCGTCACGGGGTTACCCGGGACGATGTTCGAAGGGCTTCGGCATACGCAGATCTCGACAGTAAACACAAAGAGATGAACGATTTATACTGGTTTGGGCCCTCTTGTTGAGTAATAGCCTTTACGTCCAGTCGGTGTGTAGCCTTTTGCGTTGGATTGATTGTATGATTGTGTGTCATAGCCTGCCGATCTAGGGAGCCCTGTCCTCCTTTATATAGCCCAAGAGACAAGTCTTCTAGTTGGTTATAATGTAAGAGTCCTAGTAGAATTATAGGATAGCAATGTTACTATATTACATGCGGAGAATTCTTAGCCGGACTAGATCTTTTCCCTTCCTTGTGGGGTACCGGGGACTATGTCCCACAGCCTACTCGTGCTTGCTGCGCCTACCCGCCCGGCCCACGCCTATTGTTGTGTCTACCCGACGTCTGCAACTTCGCGCGCTCGTCGATCGAGCTTGAACTGCCACAACGAGATGGAGGGAAGGGAGGGGAGGGGAGGTAGAGGAGAGGAGAGGACGAGGCACGCCGCGCGAGGAAGGCACAGGCCACCAATGCCATTGCAGCATGTGCAACACCTGATCTACTTTTGAAACATCCAGATGAAACAACTACAATATACGTCTGAAGACAGATGAATCACTTAAAACATGTGTGTATAGCCATTTACAACATGCACAACGCCAAGATTGACTTTTGAAACATCCAGTTGAAATATTTGCAACATACGTATGAAATCCCCGAATCAGTTGAAATATAGGCTTGTAACATGCGTATTTTGTCATTATAACATATGCAACATCCATATCTACTTTTGCAACATCTAGATGAAATGCTTGAAACAAAAGTATGAAACAGCTAAAACGCTTGAAAACATATGCAACATTCAGATCTGCTTTTGCAACATCCAGATTAAACACTTGAAACAAAAATCTGAAACACCTGAAACACAACGTTCGTCGCGCGGCCTTGGCCTACCGAGTGGGGAACTACGGTAGGTTGGCGAGGAGGATAGGGAGTGGATGAAGACCATCCTAGCGGAGGTGCTGGAGTGCCAACGGCGAGGCCCCCGAGAGGGATGCCATCTTCCAGGCCGCCTCAAACACCATGGGATGCTCCGGCACGCTCGCCACCTCCGACAACAAGTACCTCATCAGAGCCGGCTGGCAGGGCAATGACGGCGTGGTGGACGGCCGTAGTGGTGCGTTTGTGGGTGAGGGTGGGGTGGGGGAGGAGATGGAGCGCGCGGCGCAGCGCATCATGGAGCACGGCGTGGGAACAGGGAGCAAATACGGACACCCGAGTTAGAGCATTATCGACCGGGAAAAGCCTCTTGGCTGGGTCGTGGAGTGAATTGACAAGAACATGGAGGAAGAGATCACCAAGACCGAAAGCGCACGAGGGAAAGAGGTTATCTGGGCTGCAAGTAAGAGACCGAGCAAAGCAGAAATGGGTCGGTCATGAAAGCTGCATGCTTAGCAATTCGTCGCCAAACATGGAAAGGAAAGCTATGATGGCTCTGACCGGCACCCCTCCATCTCCTCCATCCAGCAACCACGCCAATACCCCAACTCCATGACCACGGTCGCTCGCGCGTCTCCAACTCAGTGAACAATCAGTGGGTCACGTGAGAGACGGGCCAATCCTCGCTTATTAGTTACGCATTCAGCGAAGTATTGGCCGTCGGCGCATAGAGACGGAGCCGTTTGAGCTAGCCATCCTATAGCTAGTACTTACGTACGAGGACATGTCGTGCATTAATATATCATATTATGGTTTTAATTTTTTTTGGTGTTTTTCTCTTCTCTTTTTTATTTTTATACAAGTTACTTCGTAAGTACACAGTTTTTATATTTCTGTTAATATGTTATGATATTAATTTATACATCTAAGTTCTTAAATATAACTTATACGTCTAACTTTATATCTAAGTCATTCATTTACATATTTAAGTTATACAAGCAGGTTATTATTGTATAAGTTATCAATGCTGACTTTATACATATAACTTTGTTCATCTAACTTTTGTGTTTCTAAGTTTTGACATAAGTTATAAGTTAATTCCGTCTACACTAGTGTGTTTTACGTGATACGCCGAACAAAACCCCAATTCCATTTCAGCGGTCGTTCACCCGATTCTACCGCGACGAACGATAGACCGCTACTGCACAGACTCGTACCTTCCCTTTTCCATGCCGTTTATTTCCATCCTTTCCTTTACTCAGTCCTCAATCCCTCGTTCCGTGACATGCAGATATCCATACACGCGGGTGTTTTTAGTGCATGTTGGTCGGATTTGTCCCGTGCCATGGCTGCACCTGTGAATGTTTCTTTTTTTTCTTTCTACCATTTTTTTTCTTTTTTTACATATTTATAAGTTATATCATGTGGTTATTTTCATACATAGTTTCATATTTCTGCTAATTTGTTATTATATTAATTTGTATATCTAAGTTCTTAAATATAATTTATACGTCCAACTTTACATCTAAGTCATTCATTAAGTTATATATCTAAGTTATACAAATAAGTTATTATAATATAAGATCAATGTTGACTTGAACAAGTTATTGTAATATAAGTTATCAATGTTGACTTGAAAGTATAAGTTCCTTAATCTAACTTATAAGTTATACAAACCAATTATTATTATATAAGTTATCAATGAGACTTGTACGTGTAAGTTTGCTAATCTAACTTATAAATCTAACTTTTACATGCATATCATCTAGCTTGCAAAAGTATATTTTATTTTACTACCATCACCGCAAGCACTGGACCGCGTGAAAATTGAAACAACGGCGCGCACACGAGACCAGCCAATAAAGGAATCATGCGGAAATGATTTTTTTCTAAAAGAGAATGTTACGGAGATGTCTGATCGTTCGCGCTATTTTAATCAGTCGCACAACAATCAGCAGAGAGCACGCTGACCATTCCAGACGCTGATACGCTGCGGGAAACCATATCACGATTCTGCTCTCCTTAGCGGAGCGCTTTAGCAGCAGCCTGCTACGTACTGTACGTACCATGGCTAGCACCATCGTGCTTAACGTTACCGGGCCAGTGCCGTTGCCATTCAACAACGCCGGCACCGGCGACGCTGACGCGGACGCCGAGAAGAATGATCCCCGAGTGAAGGAGTACGAGAGCTTGGCCTCCGCGGTCCCGAGCAACCCGAAGCTGCGGCTGCCGCTGCGCTGCTACCAGAGCACCTGGGTGCTGGGCTGCTGGCGCCGTGGGTGCCGGGGATAATGGCCGTGCAGCGCGGGCTGTTCGCGCCGCGCCGGGGCGACGTGGTGCTCGCGAGCGCGCCCAAGTGCGGCACCACGTGGCTCAAGGCGCTGGCGTTCGCCACCATGGCGCGGGGCGCGCACCCGCCGGCGCACGACGCGGCGCACCCGCTCCTCCGCCTCAACCCGCATGACTGCGTGCAGTTCATGGAGAAGCTGTTCGCCGCGGGGTGGGGGAGCCGGGTGGATGCGCTGCCGTCGCCGAGGCTCATGGCCACGCACATGCACCACGCGCTCCTGCCCGCCTCCATCGCTGCCAACCCCGACTGCTGCAAGATCGTCTACATATGCAGGGATCCCAAGGACATGGTGGTTTCTATGTGGCACTTCGGCAGGAGAATGCAACCCAGCCTGTCGTTCCTCGACGTGTTCGAGCCGGCCTGCGACGGCAGCGGTTTGAGCGGCCCCATATTGGACCATGTCCTCGGGTACTGGAATGCCAGCAAGGCGAGCCCAGAGACGGTGCTGTTCCTGAGGTCCTAGCACATGCTGCGCGACCCAGCCGGCGGCACCAGGAAGCTTGCCCAGTTCGTCGGGCAGCCGTTCTCGGAGGATGAGGACTTGAGGAGGCGGCTGGGGTCGTCACGGACATCGTGACGCTGTGCAGCTTCGAGAAGATGAGAAACCTCGACGTCAACAGGCCAGCAGGCTCGTCGTCGGCGTCTCCCGTCGGAGTGGTGCTGGAAGGCACCTTCGCTAATGACTCCTATTTCAGGAGGGGCGAAGCAGGAGATTGGGCCAACCACATGGCGCCAGAGATGGCCGGACGTCTGGACGCCGTCATGGAAGAGAAGCTCCGTGGATCTGGCCTCTCGTTCTCGTGAGTCGTGAGCGGCCGGCACTCCTCCTGCTGGCTCCCCCATCTCAACGGATACAACTTTTGTTGCGTGTTGGCATATTGTTGTTCCGGCTAGCTTTTCAGTCATGCACCAAGGTATTATGGAACTCAACTGTATTCGTCAACCTCATCATGCGTATTGCCCTGTTGAGTTTGGTTTTTAGTCTTTTGAGATGTTCGTATCCGTACGTAAATCTTCAGCTGCTTGTACGGGGAATGCTCTATTTTAGATGACTTTGGACATATATTACAATTTGACTGCTACTTTTTCTAAACATTTTTAGAGTAGATTATTTTTAAAATATTAATTTAAAAAGGATTAATAATAATATTATCTCCTCGCCTGAGTCGTGTAAATTTCGTTTCCAGTATATTCTGTAGTAGTTAGTGACTCATTTTGTATTTTTGTTGATTGCCATTTGTCTCTATTCATTTGCGTAGCCTTCAGATTTAGCAAATTGAATTGACACACTTTGATTGTAAGTGTAACTGATGCTTCCCCCGATTTGCATACAGATCTCGTGGACACTAGTTATTTAAATCCATTGCAAAACAATGGCCCAATTATTGTTGAAAAAAAGATAATTTCACAATATGAATAATTAAATCATGATTAAAGCATGGACTACCATGTATAATTCTCTAACATACTAATATAATACTAATTAAACCAAACACCATAAACAGGAACAACACCATGACTTGTGTGAAAGTCTCGTTGTCCTTTTTCAGTACGGGATCGCAAAGAAGGCTTTGCGCATTCTAACAGTCTCGTTGTCCTTTTCGTCTCAACACCATACTTGATTGAAAGTCTTTGCATGGCGAGCTGACGCGCATGTGAAACTGCCTTATCTTCCTCCACACATGGAGTAGAGAGAGCTTTTATATTTAAGCGTATCATCCTCTATCTCAATTAGCAAGGTGGGACTAAATCTTCACACAATCATACACAGGCAAAACATGGATGACTTTGAGGCTTATTGGAAACAGTTGGAAAGAAATTGTGTGCGACGGTGCCGTATCTGGCTTACGTGCGACATCCAACGCACGTTCAGCGGCCGATCAACCAATTGAAAATTCAGGGATTGTTTTCCTCATACGGATGTGATTTGCAACATGGGTAGAATCGGTTTCTAGTATCGACAGGTTGTGGTCATCGGAGCACGGCATGCAAGCTGCGGCATTGCCTTATAAGATTTTATTCCGAAATAATTGGAGTTCTCAATGAGGCCAAGCACGTTTATTCCAACAGTTACAATCGAGCTAGTAGTTTTCCATCTGACGAGGAGAATCACTTGTGATCTCCTATGTTCCATTGCAACCTCCTCGTATAACTTTCTCTGGTGACATTACGGCGTCATCTTTGTGGATCACACACGAGCACAAACAACATCGACAAAATTGTGGAAGTTGTTCAAGGATCCGCCGTCGGGCCCGAACGCCTTGACCACCCTGGCCTGCAGGTCCCGCGCCGTAGCCCTCATCCGGGCCCCTTCAGCCCCTGTCAGCAGCGACGTCACCACCTCCGCCACGCCACCGCTCGTCATCGGCGTGTCGTCGCCGAACGCGGTGCCGAGGCACCACATGCGCGCCACAGCACGCGCATTCATCTGCTGGTCGCCGAAGAAGGGGCGGCACGCCATGGGCACGCCGCCGGACATCCCCTCGACGACTGCCCCCCAGCCGGGTGCCGCAGCACCGCGGCCTGCGGCGTCCATGGCACCAGGAGCCCGGAGCCGTTGGCCTTGGCGCGGTCCACGAACCCCGGCGGGAGCAGCGCCCACGCGTCCTCCCGAAGCGACCACAGGAAGGGCGCGCCGCTGGCCTCGAGCCCGGAGGCCAGCTCACGAAGCTCGTCCGGTGGCAGCGCCGCGACCGTGCCGAAGCTGACGTACGCCACGGTGCCCGCGGGGCGCTGAGCGAGCCAGGCAAGGCAGCCGTGGGGGTTGTCGGCTGGCGCGGCGGCGCCCGGGAGGAGGTGGTAGGGGCCGATGGGGAGGGAGTTGGGGAGCGCGTCGGCGAGGGCCGCGGACACGTCCTGCGGGAAGAGGCCCGGGAAGGCATTGAGACGACGGCGGTGGCGGCGCGGGGCAGGCGCTGCGCCAGGCGGCTGAGGAGGAGGCTCATGACACGGTGCATGTCGCCGCTGGCGCCGACGCCGCCGAAGGGGAGGTCGCGGACGCGGCAGCTCCCGAGGCCTGGGTGGGAGGTCAGAAGCTCGTCAGCCCTGTTCGCGGCTGCAAGTGCATTTGCATGCGGCGCAACAGTAAGCGTGTCACTGTGCAAAGTGCAGCGCGTGCAACTCGAGGTCTCGAGCCGAATAATTTCAACAGAATCGGTCGTACCCTGGTCACCGATGTCCTCGCGGATCGCGTCGCCGATGAGGTAGGCGTGCGCTAAGTTGCGTTTATTTACGTGGAATGCTGTCAGAGTGGCTGAATGTGTGTGGGCTGCAGCATCTAGCAAATGGGCAAACTGAAATAACAGGAGTGTCAAGATACAACGTGTTCTATTTCAACCCAGTTAAAGCCAGTTAAAATTTAGTTGAGTCTATTAGCTGGAGCATTCAAACACCCCAGATAAAATTTAGCTTGAAAACTTTTAGCTAGCTAAAGTTTTACTTTGAAAGAAGAGGAAATTCCTAGAAGAAGGCTACTCCTGTCCACTTTGCCATGATAATGTTGATGAAACCGTTATGCATCTGTTTTTTGAGTGCGCCACGGCTACTACTAGATGGTTTATGATTGGCATCCAATGGTCTGTCCAGTGTAATATTTTCCAAATGCTTATAGGGCGTGATTGGTTGCTCGGGCATGGGTGATCCGGGATGGAGGGCCTATGCAGGCTCTTCCCAGCCATGATGGAAGCATGCAAGTGGGTGTGTTTGGTTGCAACCGACTACAGGATACCGGATGAGCAGCGTCGTGTTTGGTTCCCCATTTGCACCATTTCGGTGTATGAACTGGTGATTCCAGTTCTTGTTTGGTTGGCCGCATTGCCCCAGGCCTGAGTACCCATGTATGAGTTTGGTGTGGTTACCACCAGCTATTACAAAATGAAGAAGAATAGAAGGAAACAGAGATAACTTTGCCTTAGTTCAACAAGCTTGGCATTGACAATGACCTTAGAGTTTCTAATGACATAAACATGATAATAGTACTCCCAGCAAATCATGAACAGGGCCGTGATTGGTTGCCCAAAAGTCATAGTTCCTCACAAGGTCATTGTCTCCACACGTTTTCATGGTATTTTGAAACCATCACAGGCAATATGAAACAATTAGAGGCAGCTACAACAATGCTTAGCAATGAAAAACTCAAGCATCATCAAAATAAACGACCAAACTCAAGCATAGACCCCAGGCTACTTTCCCCTACAGGCAACTTACCAAGCCATGGCATTTTGAGCATCACAGATAGTTGTAGCAACGAGCAAGAACGAACCACAGGAGCACCAGCAACAGAAAACACTGCACCACAGCCACAACAAATAACACCGGTTTGTTGCCGAGCACCTTTGGTGGAGGATTGACAAAAACTTTATCATCTTCACAACCCATGAACTCTAAGTATGATGCTTCTGTCTCTTCTTTGTTAGGGAAGCTCTTGTAGCTGTTGTTTTTAAAACCAGTTACATGGGCATTGCATCTAGCCCAGGTTGAATATACCCCAGGTACTCTTCCACGATACACAACATACCAATCCATTTGCCCCTTAAAAACACATAAAAGCAAGTATAAGATGTTGACAAAATGAAGGGTAGTTAAATCGATTTGCCTCAGATTTAATTGCCTTTTCATTTGACCTTGAACTTGGAGCTTAAGAAACATAGACAGCAGCAAACCTCAAACAGATTGTAGAAAAACCAAGATCATGACAGGAATGAAACCATGAGAGGCATCCAGCCCAGCCATCAGATCATCAGAATTGTCCAGCTGTTGCTTGGGCATGGATGCCTCACATGGTTTGATTACAGCCATGAGAAGCATAAGCAAAAGATAGAAGAAACAATGCTCCAGTACCTCACAAGTCCAAGGCCAACAATGTGCATAATCCATTACTCAAACTGGCACTGTTATCTTCAGAGGCATGAAAAGGATCTCATAATTGTATCAGCCTCAGTCAAAAACTACAATCATCCCAGGTGGCAAATAAGAACATAAATTGCTAAGGCAAGTTCATGACTCCCATGGAAGCGTGGGACACGTCCATCCCAGCCACCCGGTAGGCATGCCTACAACAGTTGCTTGGGAATAGGCGTATCCCACGGTTTGATGAAAGACATGAGAAAACACAAGAAGACAATAAAGCAACAACAAAAAGAATACCCACAGCCACCTCAGATTGCTATAGTTTGCATCATTGGCCAAAAAGGAACTCCTACAAGAACAATAACAGCATCTGAAATGTCTCGGATCAACTGACAATCCAAGGTATTTTAGGGCTCAGATCAACTAAGTGACAATCCATCACCCTTTGTTAATGTCTACACCACACAGATCAACAAAGCCTCACATCCATCACCATGGCTCCTATGCTATTCTAGACTAGGTGCAGCCTTGGTTAGGCGACAAATGGTTCTTTGTAGCATCAGTTGAGGTAAGTGCTACACATCAAAATACTTCCTACAATATAAGACAGTTAGCATGGCTATATGCAAAAGTAGAGAGGCCAGCTAGTATGCATCTACGCAAAGTAAGTTGTGCTCAGATAGGTCCTAAGCCACAGGATCCTATGAGCCTCTGTCATCTGAACAAAGCAAAATCCCTCAGCCTTGTTCTTTTTAGCAGGTAAACCAGGCAAACATGAGTGCCTCCTATGAGTACCCAGGGTAGTCCATAACACAGCCATAAAGATCCCTGATGCACCTCATTGTTTGTGGAGTCTTGAGGGCATCTCCACACACTCCACACCATGATCATTCTATTCATGAGGTCTATTTCTCTGGGGCAAGCTTCCTTCTCTTGCCACCCCTTTCCTCCTGGCCCTTGGCATCAGAACCCTTAGAGCCTTCCATACTAGAAGGAGTTCCTTTCCAAACTCAGCCTCTGTGCTACCTAAGTCAGTGTTGTCCTCAACGGTATCAATATCACCTTGGCCAATGTCGGTTGGAGTACCCAGAGGCTCATTTGAGCCCATTGCATACCTGCCTGTTGCCTGGTTACCACCAAAGATGGCCTCCATCTGAACATAGTTCTCTATTGGTGTGTTCAAGAACTTAGCATCAGCAGGATGGTCCTAGTTAGTGAAACAGATGTAACTATTAGACATATGGGAGCAAAATATAAGAGAAGGGATAGCTGAGGTGTTATCCAAATAGTTTCTAACCTTGGTGTGGCCTAGCAGGTGTTCATCATCAAGTACTATCATATGGTGGTCCTCATCCCACAGAGCACCACTCAAATCCTTGAGCCTAACAACCTTAACCCACATTTGCCTCCACTTTCTTAGGTGATTGTAAATCTGCTGGGTGGTCACATTGACCCCAGCAAACTCAGAGACCATGAGTGTAACCTGCCTAACATGTACCTCCTTGAACCCTTTCTCACTTTTGACCTCCTGCCCCACCAAATCATGGAACCTCCTAAGCATGAACCCAGACTGGACAGGACTCCAGTGCATAGGGCCATTGGGCTGAGGGGCTGCTTGGTTGCCATCATCAGCAGCAACTACCCCACCCTGTTCCACCACATTGTCCTCACCACCAATGTTAACAACCTGGTCAGGCACATTGTCCATTTCCTATCCACAACCAGTACGTAAGGAAAATAAATTGCATGGTATGAAATACAAGTTGAACATATCAAATAGGCAGAAAAGGAATAGGTACTACATCATTGCAAAGTGTCATAGGTCTTAGTAAAAATACAAGTTTCTCCAATGCTACTAAACAGTACACACACCATGCCACTACACCCCAGAATTCCCCCTGTTTTGCCACATCTGTGCAGCCCATGTCTCCCTCTGTTGTGCCCAGGTACCATTGTCAGGGACATGGTTTGGCTGTGAGGCATTATCATTGATGTTAGGTGTCCATGTGGATTCAGCAGGCACATGCTCGTCCTGCCCATGCCTGAGGATCCAATTGTGAAGAATACAATAGGCTAGAACAAACTTAACTTGGGTCTTGTATGGGTGGAAAGGTTTGTTGTCCAATATCCTGAATCTATTCTTTAGAGCCCCAAAAGCCCTCTCAATTGTTACTCTAAGAGACGAATGCCTTAGATTAAAAAGCTCTCTTTGATTTTGAGGTCGGTTTGAACCAAACTCCCTCAAATGGTACCTTGTGGCATGAAATGGTGGCAAGAAACCAGGCCTCACTGCATAGCCAGCATCGACAAGATAGAATTTGCCTAAAAATTAGTAGATAGGAACATGTTTTAGTAGTTTCATTTAGGATTAAGCAAAGTGTCAAAGTTTTTTCTTGGTTTGGATGATACCTGGTGGCACTCTAAGGCCATCATCTCTTTCAAGAGCATCAGACAAGATAAGAGCATCATGTGTAGATCCCTCCCAACCAGCAAGCACATAGGTGAATCTGAGGTCAAAGTCCACGGCTGCCAACACATTTTGTGTGATGGTGTGCTTCCTACCTCTAAAGGCAGCTTGCATCTTCACAGGCACTCTAGCTAATACATGAGTACCATCAATTGCTCCTATGCAGTCCTAATTGAAAAAAACATAAGTGCAAGTGAACATTGACCCAGTAAGGCCCAGTGGGTGCAGATGAACCCCCCCCCTCCAAAAAAATCAGTGCTTACCCTCACATCTTGGCCCTGTATGCACCCCCTTGGGCCAACAAGCCGCACCCCCACGGCCCAACTTCCCAAACCAGCAGCCCAAATGCATAAGTAATCAGCCCCACGATCCCCAGCACCAGGCGATAGGCGTCCACGCCAGCAGGCAGCAGCACGCCGTTTCCAATTCCCCTTCCTCACCCGCCAGCAGCCCAGTGCCATGCGATTCTGACGAATTGACGATCGCGGATTGCCTGAGCCGCCGCCCGCGGCAGTTGCCTTCGTCGCTGCACCTCGCGGCCTCGGCGCCTCGCCACCGTCGCGGTAAAAAACGGCGCCCTGCGGCCCTGCGCCCTGCCAGTGCCACCGTGCGCCGTAGCACCAGTGCGCGTGCGTCCAGCGGGCAGCGGCCCAGGAAAAATCAACGCCACGCCCACGACGCCCTGTCGCCCTCCCCTCCCCTTTCTGATATCTGATTAGGTATTATTTCTTTCTCAATTAATCTGATTTGTTATATATATAATCGGAAAGCCCTAATGATTGGGTATTCTTTTTCATATTGTAGGGTTTATTGGTACAGCCGGGTTTCAATTTGGGAATTAGAGTGATCGCACAGGAGAATTTAGTCTTGAATTATTAAAGGTGCGACTTAAACATTTGGCATGTCATCCTATTTCAAATTTCCCATAGGTTCTGTTCTTGATTCCTAAACTATGCGACCAGCGAATTAGTACATACTTACATATTAGGTTATTAATGACAGGTCAATTAATGGAACGATTTTATAAAAGGAAAGCACCAGAGCTGGATAGTGGCAATAATGCTAGAAATTCACGTTTGGATGATATCAACTGGGAGGAGGAGATTAAGTTTGATCCAGGATTAAGGAAACAAATTGATGATTGTCATCCTAATGTTAGAGAGAGGGTGAGAAGAAAGTACTTGGAGAATGGGCCTTGCCAACCTCGCACAGTTCATTTTCCTGTGACAAATATTGGAGGAATTCCAAGAAGGTTTTGTTCCAGAATGGTTCGATGAGTTTGGAGGTTGGCTTGAATATAGTGAGTCCAAAGACAGAGCATATTGCTTTTATTGTTTCTTGTTTAGAGAAAAGAAGGATGGCAGATATGAAGCATTTGTTAAAAATGGTTGGAATGGCTATCATAGAAAGGAAAGGCTACAAAATCATGTTGGTAATGTCGGTGGCTCACACTATCTGGCAATGAAGAAATGTGATGATCTCTTACAAACAAAACATCACATTGATGTTGCTTTCCGTGATGTGAGTGAATCTGCTAAGGACTATTTTACTCGTTTGAATGGGTTTATTGATGTTGCTAGAATATTGGTGAAGCAAGGATTGCCGTTTCGGGGCCACGACGAGTCAAAGAAGTCCTTAAATAAAGGGAACTTCAGGGAATTTTGTAATTTTGTAGAGGAGCAAAATCCGACCTTAAGAAAGGCAGTAGATAAAAAGAATTCGGATAACAACCTTTTGATTGCTCCTGAAATACAAAATGATATTGTGCATTGTTTTGCAAAGGAAGTGCTACACTCTATTCTAGAAGAAATTGGGGATGCTGTTTTTTGCTTGCTAGTTGATGAGTCGAGAGATGTTTCTTGGAAAGAACAAATGGCAATGGTCTTAAGATATGTAGATAAATGTGGAATTGTTAAAGAAAGATTTGTTGGTCTTGTTCATGTGAAAGAAACAAATTCTGCAAGTCTCAAGTCTGCTATTGATGCATTATTTGCTGATCTTAAGTTAAGCCTAAAGCAAGTTAGAGGCCAAGGATACGATGATGCTAGCAATATGTGAGGTGAGTTCAACGGCTTGCAATCATTGATCATGAAAGAAAATAGTTCAGCTTATTATGTTCACTGTTTTGCTCACCAACTTCAATTAGTCCTTGTGGCCATTGCGAGAAAGCATAAAGGGGTTAGTGAATTTTTTACTATGATTTCTATGTTATTGAATGTGGTGGGTGGATCATCTAAGAGAAGGAACATGATTAGAGATATTAATCTTGAAGAAATGAGTAAAGCATAAGGCTACAGGCAACTTCAGACTGGGACAAGGTTAAATCAAGAGCAAAGTCTTCAAATACCTGGAGATACTCGTTGGAGTTCCCATTATAAATCTCTCAAAAGTTTGGTTGACATGTTTCCTACAATAGTCAAGGTACTAGAAATTGTGGAAAAAGATAATAAGGATTGGAAAATTAGAGATCAAGCATCAAACCTTCTACGATACTTCTAGTCTTTTGACTTTGTCTTCTATTTGCATCTCATGTTGACTATATTAGGAATCACTAATACCTTGTCATTAGCATTGCAACGGAAGGATCAGGACATAGTGAATGCTATTAAATGTGTGAAAGCAACGAAGTGCCAATTGGATGAACTTAGAAAAGAAAAGTGGGTGAAACTATTAGATGATGTGCATGGATTTTGTGACAAGAATGATATTTGCAAATTAGAAATGGAAGATGAATATATTGATCCAAAGAAGCGGAGGCATAAATCTGGAATTACAAACAAGCATTATTATCAAGTAGATTGTTTTAATGATGTTATTGATTGGCTACTTCAAGAACTTGACAGCCACTTCAATGAGACAGGCTCTCAATTGCTTGTTTGCTCAGCAGCTTTTAGTCCAAGAGACTCGTTCCATGATTTTAGTATAGAAAATTTGATGAGCCTAGCGAATCTTTATCCACATGATTTTGATTCTGGGAATTTGAGGGATCTTAACCACGAGCTTGGCCTCTACATATATGATGTGAGAGACGATGAAAGGTTCTCCAACCTACAAATTGTTGCCAAGCTTTCTCAAACAATGGTGAAGACTAAAAAACACGAACGTTATCCAATGGTTTACCTACTTTTGAAGCTTGTGCTAGTGCTACCTGTTGCTACTGCTACAGTGAGAGGTGTTTCTCAGCCATGAAAATTGTGAAAACATAATTGCGCAATCACATTGGTGAGATATATATATATGAGCAATAGCCTTATTTGCTATGTGGAGAAAGAAGAGCCGTTGAAAGTCACCAATGAGGCCGTGGTTCGTCGCTTCATGAAAATGTAAGGTCGTAGATTTGATGATGAAGGTTAAAGGTAATATTTGTATTTTTTTATTGGTTCATTTTTTAGTCTTAAAATATTGTTCGTGGAATTCTTCGGTTTGATAATTATATTTTATCGCTTCTTTATTCTTGCACCCCTTCATTTCGCTCTAGCTTCGCCGCTGGATCAAATAGGACTGCACGGTCTGAGGATGCAGCCAGAACGAATTTTTTTTCCGGAACGGAACACGCGTGACCAAAAGTTGTGTAGCCTGGAATTTAATCCAAACAGCCCCACGCGGTGGAAGTTGCCTGGTCCAGGATTCAATCAAACAGCCGACGCCTAGCCGTTGCTTCTCTTTTCTCCATACGGCACCAAGTCGACGTGCAATCAGCGAATCACCACACCGTTGTTTTTTCTCTCGTGCGTGCAAGAAGCCAAGAACTTATGCATGCATGTGAAGCATTGGAATCTAGGCGTGTCTAGAACCGCTCCACAAATTTCAGGATGGAGCAGCTCCACAAAAAACAGAAGTTTATAGAGCACACCTTTAGGTGCTCTCACAACTTCACCATTTTTTCTCAAATAGAATACGTGGAGCTAAAATCATTTGACTTAAAACGTGGAGCGGCGGAACAGTCTCAAACACCCTCTTAGAGCCTACCTAATTAGACTGCTCAGATACATTTTTGAAGTGTTTGGTTGCCGTTAGAATCCGGCTCTCCATATATGCTAAAGATAGCCAAGAGAGCCGCACGAGCATGGCTCGCATGGTGCAGTGCGGAGTTTTTTAATGATGCTATTAACATATAATTAATACATATTAAGTGACATTAGTATATTTTAAAGTAGATTAAAATATTCAAAGTAAAATATGTACTACCAGAGTGTAGTTATACAAGTTAAATACTTTAAGGTTTTGTTTTTCCATTCTTATTTCATACGGCACGAGTATTATCTCTTCTTAACCAGACTCTGTACGTGCAAACGACCAAACAACAACTCTTGCACCTGCACAGCCTTGCGGAAGCCTGGTTCCCACATGCAAGAGAGGCTCCCCTCACCATCGAACCAAACACGCTATTAAATGAGCAGAGAATACGTGCGAGAATATGTATGCACGAGCCTAATTTTAATACAATTAGCTGTATGCATGTTCATTATATTAGTAGGATGTGCATTAGGTATTAAAGCCGACCGGCTGAAGCTGTTTTCGCTCTGTTTGTTTGGGCTGATTTGGCTTATAAGCCATATTGAAAAATATCTGTTGATTGGTTTGGTGTGAGAGAAAAATACTGTAGATTATAACTGGTAAGCCGACTGATAAGTTCAAGCGAACAAGCCTTACGTGAATGAGTGATCGTGACAGGTATGGACATCTGGGCCTCTTTTCTTGCCTAAAAAAACAAGGGCTGTATGCACGTTATGTTTAATATACCCATTTTGTGACTAGGATCGTACTATCCTACTAAGGACACTTTCAGCGTAGAAATTACATGTTTTTTATAACCATTAATTAATATATCAACTAAACAAAATATTGATGTAGCATTGTAGCTAACGAAGAGAGAGGGAAAAATAGTTTTTATATAGAAAACTATGTCTACACAGGAACGATGATACAAAGAAATTTGAATGGTAGGTGATATGAGAGAAGACATTTGATAGGAAAAAAAATTAATTTTAAAGAAACTATCCATTAGGTATGTGGTTTCTATTTGTAATGTCTAGTTGTCTTGGTAAGCATGAAAACCACCTCATAGTTTCTAGACCGAGATTTCCATAATTAGGGTTACAAGGCATATATTAATTAGGGATTGCAACATACATACGGATTAAGGTTATAAAGTTTGCAACTCAATACCATAACAACATACTGATCAAAGGTCATGACAGACATGTGCGAGGAAGAGAGACAGTTGAGGCACACCGGCCCCGTGTAGGTCTATCGGGAAACGGGTAGAGGGTTGACAGTCTTCCGGCTACCTAATGGCCCTTGCGACAGGACCTTGCGCCAACCATCAGCGTCCCCGAGCGGAGATGCGCTTGCGAGTTCCAGAGGTAGGTTGTGGTCCAAGCTACAGATGGGCTAGCACGGACCACGTGGCATCACGTGCAACCCGATTAGTCCAGTCGTTATCGTCCCTACCGTGGATAGGAAGCTCATGAATGAGCCGCAGGCGTGGCCGACGATGCTTGGGGCACTTGCATCGCCACCCGACGCCCTTCTCAACCACGACATCGCGGCGCATGCCTCCAATGAGATGGGGCACGACCGAGTTTTCTCAGGTAGCAACGACATCCTTGGCGGCGGCGGCAGCTCCTGATGAACCGCATCCAGGTAGCGGATGGGGAGGTGGTCGGCGACAACTCCACATTTGAGGCGTCAAGGATATCATCTTCCACTCACCAACGAGCCTCCCTCCTGGGTGGGAGAGGGAGGCGAGGGAAAAGAACGAGGACGATGGGCTTAGGGCGGGGCTGCTTGTGGCAGCCATCGTTGGAGGGAGATACATTGATGAGGTGGACAACTTGCACGTTAAGATTGTCTCGTGAGGCTATAGATAGATCTAATAGAGTTCCACGTATCAGACCACAACGGGGGCAAGAAGGACTTTGTGGCTCACGGCCCACTGGCCACTAGGGGCCACTAGGGGTATCCATTCGCCTCCCCGTATGCTGTGGATGGATATGGGCTATGGCAGGGGACAACCCATGCTTTGAAGCTGGGCTCTGCCAGACAAGAGGACGAAACCGGCCCACATCAGGTAGCACGCACACAATCAAGCCCGCCTGCCATTTCTGCCCAACCCACCAGGGCCCGATGCACGGGACGGGACGACGAGAGTGTGAAACGGGAAAACGGCCGCGCAACCGCCGCCGCCTCCGCGTCCGCCCCCACCTCCTCGCTCGGCACGCGCCAAAACCAGCCACCGGCCGCCGCCTCCGGAGCTGCAGTCCTACGCTCCGGCTCCTCCACCTCCTCACCGCGCTTGTTGATGACGGCGGAGCAGGAGGGGAGGGAGGTCCAGGTCCGGGCCCTCGACGGGCGATCCACGGTCGTCAAGCTGCCCCCCGGCGGCTCCGTCCGGGACCTGAAGGCCGCGCTCCGGACCTCATTCCTGCCGGCGCAAGTCGCCCCCAACTTCCACCTCTTCCTCAAGGTGCCGCGCAACAGCCTACCTCTAGCTTTCCGGCGTGTGCTAAGACTGTCTCGCTTCGTCGTGGCATTGATGTCTCATTGGGTTAAGACTGCTAGCAGTTGCAGCTTCACTATGGACATTAGTTGAATACAGTAGCACCTTACTCATGCTGAAATTTTCCTCGTGTGCTGAAGGGTGTTAAATTGCGTTTAGACGCTGAGATTGGCAGCCTTGCAATCGTCGGCGATGAATTCATTGTTCTCGTACCCTTCACAAGGATGCCACAGCAACGTTCTTCAGTTTGCACGGCAAGTCAAGAGCAGGGCCTCAATCCACCAAAACAACCAGAAGTGTCTTCTGCGGCTAATTCAGCTTGGCAAGACATTATGGATGACCTCTCAGCAATGCCAACCAGCCCACAGTCTGATGCTGCTTCCAAAGATTTTTACTCCTCATGTGACCCGTTCTCTGGGAGATTTATGGAGGATATGACAGCTGGTCAAAGTTCGTCAAGTGGGTCATCAAGGAAACGGAGGAAAACTTGCAAGAGAAATGGAAATGGTTCCCCACAAATGGTGTCCCCTGAAGCGAATGGTACAGCTGAGAAACACAACATAAGTAAGAAAAGTGGGGTGGCCAAATCTGCTGCTATGTCATGTCATGTATGTATCACCTCTGTTTTTCTCTCTGCCACTGCCAATTTCATCTTAACTTTCATCACCCGGAGAAGAAAACCAAATGGCAGCTTAGTGTTTCTTGCCCAAGAAGAATGCAATAGGCATATGGCATACCACATACATATTGGCTTGCCATACATATTTTTTTACCTTAGAAGCTGGATATCTTTTTGATTATCATGTGGTTGCAATGCAGGATATGCACCCTTTGGAACCTGCTGAAATGGTTGAACATCTGAAACAAGGACTTGGAAAGGAGGAGCAGGTTTTCACTTATATAACTTTCTGAAATTGATACTGCAAACAAAGAAATAGTCTTTTAATCGTTGCAATTTGTATGTGCAGATCGTACATATCCAAGAGATACCATCTAGAGAGGCATCATTTACAAATCTTCCTTGTAATCTTTCAGAAGCTATGAGAGAAGCGCTGAAGAGTATTGGAATATCTAGACTGTATAGCCACCAGGTATGCCGGGGTGTGTTACATTTAGTGCATATTTAATTAGGTCATTGTCTTATGTTGTTTTTTTATTTTGAGTGCAGTCTCAAGCCATAAAGTCCTCTATTTCTGGAAGGCACATTGTCGTTGCAACTTCTACATCAAGTGGAAAGTCTCTATGTTACAATATTCCTGTTCTTGAATCTCTTTCCCAAGACTCAATGGCGTGTGCTCTGTACATATTTCCGACAAAGGTATGGGAAATAACCTATTACATTTTAGTAATGGTCAATTGTTCATCAATAATATCGATAGAAATTCATGCTCCTTTTGTTTTCCAGGCTTTAGCTCAAGATCAGTTGAGGACTTTACTAGAGATGAAGAATGCATCTCATTTTGATTTTGATGTTAAAATATATGATGGTGATACTCCTAGAGAAGATCGTTTGTGGATCAGGGATAATGCTCGACTGGTAACTATGTCTAGGGCTATAGAATTGTGTTTTTAATTTGATTTCTTTATTTTAACGCTTCTAATCACATACCGTTTTACTCTCAGTTAATTACCAACCCAGATATGTTGCATGTGTCAATCTTGCCGTATCATGGTCAATTCCAGAGGATTTTATCAAATCTCAGGTAAAAGTAATTGGTTCCTTAGTTTTCTCAATGATCTTATCCATTAGTCCTTTTTTTTTGTCAATGATGTGTTTTTTCATCTGGGATCTGCTTTAAGTTTCCGAATGAATAATGCTAGAGTTGTGTATTCATCCTCAGGCTAACCCTAGAAGGGTAGCAATGTATATTGGTCATACATGGGCCTCATGGGCCTAATACACTCATACTCTCATACTCCTTTGTGCAGTCTCGAACTCAATGCAGCGGAGTTTCTGATGGACATGAAAAGAAGCACACACACGATCCCCCCACAGCACGCAACTAGCCACCAATGATGTTGAGGCCGGAGCGAAACTCGGTGAAGGTCGATGACGGAGGCCCTTGGTGAAGATGTCGGCAACCGGGAGGTGGTCGGGACGTGGAGGACCCGAACATCGCCGATGGCAACCCGATCACGGACAAAGTGTAGGTCGATCTCCACATGCTTGGTCCGTTGGTGCTTTTGCAGGGTTGGTGGAGAGGTACACCATGAGCGACGTTTATGAGACCAAATGCTTTCGGGAGAGAGGGCTGTGGAGCTTGGCAAGGAGCTGCCGGAGCCGGAGGCCTCGCCACGCCGTTAGCGACAGCTCGGTACTCCGCCTCAAGATGGATCGGGAGACCACGGCCGGGCGCTTGGGCGACATCAGACACCAGGTTGCCGCCGGAGAAGACAACAGAGCCGGAGGTAGAGCGCCGAGTGTCCGGACACCGGCCCGATCGGCGTCGATGTAGACGACGAGCTCGGTCTGAAGGAGTAAGTCCGTAGTCGGCGATTGCTGCTGGAGGTAGCGGAGGAGGCGCTTGAGCGTGATGAGGTGAGGCTCTCGGGATCATGCATGTGAAGGCATATCTGGCACATCTTTGCATAGGTGATGTCTGGCCTGGTGAAGGTGAAGTCTTCAAGGGCACCTGCAAGACTCGCATAGCGATGGGGGTCTGCCACGGTTCCCATGGCCCTCGATACTTTTGCCACATGTGTCAACTGGAGTAAGCAGGGCTTGCGATTAGTCATTCGAGATATCAAGAGTGTATCGCTTTTGGTGAAGAGAGAAGGCGGTGGGGCGAGGCTCAATGATGACGAGGAAGTGGTGGAGCACACCAAGATCCTTCATAGCAAACTCCTATTGAAGAGAGGCGATGCGACACGGCCGAGTAAGGACGGATTTGGAGGTTGTGAGGACAATATCATCAACGTGAAGCGGCAGATAGGCGATCTCGGCTCCATGGTGATAGATAAGCAGGACGATTCGACTTGGCCTCCACAAACCCCAAGTGTCGGCAGGAAAGCGAAAAACCGAGAATACCACGCTTGGGGCCTGCTTGAGCCCGTAGAGAGAGACTTGTTGAGCCGGCAGACCATGTGGACGAGAAGAGTCAACAAACCCCACTGGCCGGGTGGTGCATGACCGTCTCGGTGAGAGTCCCGTGGAGAAAGGCATTTTTGACGCGTCCGGTGATGCACGGGCCAAGAGCGATCGAGAGCCAGGGAGAGCATTTGGCGTGACGGTGGGCGGCTTCACCACGGGCTGAAAGTCTCATCATAATGTCGTATACCGAGTGAAACCCGGAGAACCCATGAGCCTTGTACCTCTCAAGGAACCATCAGCCCGCCGCTTGTGTGTCGAGATCCACTTCCGGTGGCGACGTTGGATCCGGGGTGGACGGGCACCAGATCCCATGTCTGGTTGGCGAATTCCTCTTCCATCGCTATGGCGCCAATGAGGGTCCGGACAAAGGCGTCGCGAACGGAAGAGGTACAGGAGAGATCTGCGGGTCGTCGGGCATCGCCACGAGAGCCCGGGGTCGCAGGGTACCACCGGCGTGTCGCGTCACCATAGGGTGAACATGCGGGTGTCGGTGAAGGAGTTGCGGGTGGTACACGGCGACACGACACGGGCAACAGGCGGCGGCGGCGTGTAGGGGTTGCCGGCGGAGAAGGGCCACCGGTGGTGTAGGCGTCACCCGATGGAGAAGGGGACCCGGTGATGCCGGGAAGCAGCGGTGCCGCCAGCACACGGCCTTTGAGACGGCACTGCCCGGGCGTAGCAGAGGTGCGACAGCGGCGCCCCCGGACCAGCTGCGGACGTAGGGGCGTGAGCAGCTCCGCTCGGGCGCGCCCCCGGACCCGGCAGGCGCGAGGGCGGCGCCATTGGTGGGTGGCGGCGGGGGCACGGGCCCGGCGAAGGGGCACGGGAAGCTACTGCAGGGGAGGCAATGGTAAAAGTGGTTGGACCACCGTGTCGATGGGAAACAAAGAGAAGGGGTCCGGATCGGGGTGGGAGATGGTGTGGTGGTGGTGGAGAAGGGGAAGACAGACTCATCAAACACCACATGGCGAGAGATGATGACCCGACGGGAGGTGAGGTCAAAGCACCGGTACCTTGTGATCCGGGAGTACCCAAGGAAGACACCACAGGCGGGCACGGGAGCCGGCTTGTGGGGGAGGCGGTGGCAGTGGTGTTAGGGTAACACGCACCCAAGACACGAAGGTGGTCATACCGGGGAGGGTACCAAGAGCGTGGCGTGGTGTGGTGTGGGAGCCAGGCGGCCAATGCGGAAGGAAGGCGGTTAAGGAGATAGGTGGAGGTGTGCGGACTCTGCTGAAGCGAAAGCAGTAGCGACGCTGGAGCGAAAGGGTGCGCATGGTGTCGTTCGTGGTGCGAATCATGCGCTCGGCCTTGCTGTTCGGGAGGAGGTATCTGGGCAAGACATGCGCATGTTGGACACCGTGAGAGAGGAAGAAGGCACGGGGAGGTGCCGTTATCGAACTCACGGCCATTGTCACACTGGACGGCCTTGATGGTGAGGCCGAATCGAAGTAGACACCCAGCGAAAAAGTGGAGAAGAGTGGTGAAGGTATCCGACTTCATGCGCAAAGGGAAAGTCCACGAATAATGCGAGAAATCGTCAACCACCACAAGATAGTATTTATACCCGGAAATGCGATGCGGGGAGATGTCCATAGGTCGCAGCAGGTGTACAAGATCAAACACATGCGTAGCATGTGAAGAAGAAGAACAAAAGGGAGGCGAACATGACGGCCCGGTATGCGCGCATGACACAAGTGCTCATCGTGAGCCCGAGTACAACCAATGTCGGAACTGCGACTAAGCTGCGTCAGAGCATCACGTCCAGGATGGCCAAGGCGACGGTGCCAAGTGGTGTGGAAGGAGTGGCGGCGAAGGCAGCTGACAAAGTAGACGGCGACGAAGAGGAAGCAGACGCCGGAAACCGAAGGGTGTAAAGGGGTCCCGTGCTGTCACATCGGAGAAGAGGACGCCGGGAAGCCAAATCCTTTACAGTAAGACCAGAAGAGTCAAATTCAACAGAACAAGAATTGTCAGCTGTAAAACGACGAATAGAAAGAAGGTTGTGAACCATAGAGGGTGCAACAAGAATGTCAGGAAGACGAAAGGAACCATGAGTGCCGGCGGCACCCACGGACGTAACTGGAATACACGAACCATTCGCGACCATGATGGACGAAGGATGAGAGGAAGAAGGAGGGTGAATAGAAGAGAGTATACCAGGGTCTGGAGTAGTGTGGTAAGTGGCACCCGAATCGGCAATCCAGTCGGTACCGGCAGGCGGTGTCAGGGCCATGGTGCTGAAGGATCTGGCCAAGGCCGCCGGGTTCCAACCGACAGGCCCGGGCAAGGTGTCGGGAGGTGGCACCCACGAAGATGCGCCGGGAGGGGGAGCCCACGCAGACGGGGAGTGAAACCGGAGGAGCTCCATGAGCAAAAGCTGTCATTTGGTGGGAGGTAGCTCTCCGCCTGGAGCCGGGAAGGGCCACATGGAGATGCGCCCCGACCACGGGTTGTGGAAGGAGGGCCAGGGTGCACCCCGTGGAGTCGCGGGCGACTGCACCGGTGTGGTGGCTTCATGGCCCCCACGCCCCCCTCATGGGCGACGGCAGCCGGCCGCCAGCCCCCCACCCCCCGCCGGCCCGGGAGGAGAACCAAGAAGCGACGACGGCGGTGGAGCGAGAGGAACGCGCGGAGGAGAGTGCGCCGCAAGCGGTCGAGAAGACGAGGACCCTGGCGTGGAGGTGGACCCTGGCTGGACGCCCTGAGTGAGCTCCTCCATGACAAGGTCGTCACGGACCTGCAGGAAGGAGGGAAAGGGCCTCTGCCGGGTGATCCACGTCCGGAGGTGGGCGTAGCGGTCACTGAGCCCGCGGAGGACATTGAGGACTGAATCACGGTCCTCCACGGGCCAACCAAGGTCGCCGAGGGAGTCCACCATGCTCTTCATGCGCCGCGCAGAAGTCGCCAACGGAGAGGTCACCCCAGACGAAGAGCACGGAAGCTCTCGACGAGACGCCTTGAGGGCCAGGCCGGCATTGCCCGTAAATCGCCCTCGAGCGCAAGCCTGCCCGCGAAGGTCAGCAGAGTTGCGGACGAGGTCGTGGAGGTCCAGGGAGATCGTCCCGATGATCCAGGAGAGGACGATGCTGTCCAGGCGCAGCCACGATGAGGTCTGGACTGCGACCGAGGCGTCAACTAGGACGTGGTCGTCGAGGGCGTAGCGGCGGAGGGTGAGGAGAACCAGTCCCTCCTCGTGAGGCGTAAGAGGGCGACTCAGGTTCGAGGACGACCGGGACGAGGAGTCGGATGTTCTGGACACCCCCGGCCTGGTAGTGGAGCTGAGCGACGTGCGGGTCGGCCGGGTCGTGCCAGATGACCGTGGTGTGAGACGCGCGGTGACCCGTCGAGCCTGAGGAGGTGGCCGCGGTGTCGTAGGATGTAGGGAGGACGAGGAGCTGCTCCGCCTCAGCCGATCTTCAGATCCGGCATCAAGCGTCAAGCGCTCAAAGCGAAAGCGCGCGCGCGCCCGAACTGGCTCTGTCGGCAAGCAGCAGAGCCTGTCTGACCACAGAGCAGTGGCAGAGCGGAGTTAGCCCTCGCCGTCTGGAGAGGGAAGGCAGGAAGGAGGAGGAGCGGGAAGAAGAAAGGCTCAGAGTTCTCCCCGCGCCCCAGTGGCGGGCGTATTTATCTGCGCCCGCCCCGCCCAATGACAGCAATGGCGGCAGCGGTTGCTGCTTGCCCTGGCCATGGTATGCCAACGCCAGGGCGGGCCAGTACCCTACAGAGTAGAAGCCTGGCCTGCATGTTTTTGCCACCCAATGCAAGCCATCACGCCCGGCCTTGCAATGGAGCGGCGGCCAGCCATTCATGGCAGGAGGCAGGCCAGGCCAGGCTGGGCCCAGGCGGATTGGAAGTAGGTTGGGGAGGGAGGGGAGGCGGCCAGCCATGGCGGGCAGCGATCGCTCATGGCGCTGGCGGCTGGGTGGGGAAGGGGAGGAAAGCCTAGTCTGATACCATGCTAGAGTTGTGTATTCATCCTCAGGCTAACCCTAGAAGGGTAGCAATGTATATTGGTCATACATGGGCCTCATGGGCCTAATACACTCATACTCTCATACTCCAACAAATAAGGTGTGCATTTTGCTTGTATGTACGCAATTTCTTGTGTTTTTCACAATGACATCATTTCTGTTGCAATTTTTTACTCAGGTATATTGTCATTGATGAAGCACATTCATACAAGGGGGCATTTGGCTGCCATACTGCACTTATAATTCGGAGATTAAAGCGTATTTGTTCAAATGGTATGTATAACTTTTTATTTGATATTTGGCTTATTCATCTATCTTGTGACTAGGTTTTCTAGTTACATGAATTTATTACTTGACTCCCAGAATCCTAATCAGAGCTCAAAAATTTACAGTAAGTTCCTTACAAGTTGTAACTTCTGATGTATGACTTTGCAGCCTATAAAAATTTAGGTGCTACTTATGCAGTTACACATATAATATAATCTATAAAGCCCTTGGTTTTCTGTATTTGCAGTTTATGGTAGTCATCCTACATTCATATTTTGTACAGCAACCTCAGCAAATCCATGTGAGCATGTCATGGTAGGTTATTCCCTCTCTTTAGCATAGTTTTGAGAAGACATGGTTGTACCTAGCAAAAAGGAACCTGCTGTTCTTAATATTTTTTTAGAGTAAAATGCAGGGCGGTCCCTACACTTGTCCCAGGGTGGTATCCAGATCTCCAAACTCTCAAAATGCTATTCAGGTCCTTGAACTTGTCTTGGGGTGTCATTGAAGTCCAAAGCTCTCAAATGTTACTTTCACGTCCTTGAATTTTTCATATCGTGTCATCCAGGTCCAAAGGGGCTCCAATCCACCCTGCACCTTGATGTGGCAGGCTGCTGTGCATCCCCGGTGGCTTAGGTCTTGGCCATTGAGTCATTATGGTAGGGACAACATGCCAACCTTTGGTGCTCCATCTCCGTGCTCTGCCTTCCTCATCCTTTCTCTAGAGTTATGCCACCAAGCAGACCTCGCAGCTATCGCAATCCCCACTGCACCTTCATTCTTAACCCCCTCCTCAAAACCAAGGATGTCCCTGGTAGTGAAGGCCATAAGAGCGAAGCTGGTGTTCCACGAAGTGTAGTGCTAGAGGTTGACTTGTCGGCCCACCATCATGTGGTCCTCACTGGCCAAGAACTGAGCCAAGGGGATCTACTGTGGCATGCCACGTCAAGGCGTGGAGCAGGTCAGGTCCTGTTTGGACCAGGACCTATATGACACTGAGGATGGACAAGTGTGGGGATCTTGAGAGTTTAGGACCTGAATGACAATCATATGACAAGTTTTGGGAGCTGAAAATACATTTTGAGAGTTCGGGACCTGAGTGACAGACAAGGACAAGTTCAGGGACTGCTCATGTATTTTACTCATTTTGCTAAAACATAGTGGCCTCGTATTATAATTTTTCTTAAAAACTATCGTCATCCGATGTTTCAAGAATATTGCATTTGCGTGGAACTGGATGTATTTTCTCTTCACGCTGAAATATGTTTGTCCTAGGAATTGGCCAATTTGGATGAAGTCGAGTTGATTCAGAATGATGGAAGTCCTTGTGGTTCCAAGTACTTTCTCTTGTGGAATCCCCCACTACATATGACAGAAGGAAGGTCAAAAGCTAGTTCAGTACCTAGGCGCTCAAGGTATAGTGATATATCCTCCTTTTTGTTAGACTATATTTGGTAGTTTTGGATTGTAATTCGATATTGTCACATGTATCTGGGTGGCAACTTGCCCCCAATGTATCCCCACGTTATACCCAAGCTACTATGCTTTCATGGCATCATGAGTTCAAGTTTTGTTCCTGAACCCTAAGGCTTCTGCTGCCACGGCCCCTAGGAGATCGATCTCCACTGTGGGCAGCGCCCTCGTAGTTAGATTGGGCTGATCCAGTTGATCTGCCGTGCGTATCATCGTCAAGTAGCATTGGGCGGCAACATCAGACCTCCTCCAAATGTGCGTTGTTAGGTTGATCTAACACGGGCATTGCTGGACCACGTGACTGTCTCAACTCTCATGCCATGGCTGCATCTTAGGGTGCAATGCCTCGTAGGGTGTCACTGCAGGCCGTGGTGTGCCATACTCGCCGCCGCCGGTTGGGTTGTGCCATTGTTAGCCACACAGAGGAGATGCTACTGTTTTTTTCCCTGGTTAGAGTCTACTCTCCCAAGGACAAGGTTGTCGTTACGTGCCCTCCGAGGCAGAATGACATTGCTTGCGGTCAAGCTATCTTCACTGGCGCTGCCTATGGCGCTATCCAGGTTAGCGCCACCCATGCTGTCGGTCCTCCTCGTCACACTGGCTCTCGATCCAAGTCCCCTGTTGCCACCCCTTGGACATTGTCGCCAATGTCGTTGACAGACGACGCGTGAGTGCTTATTGATACATCCAAGCAGCCCCATTTACCTTCACCATTTGGTCGGCTCATCATCGTGCTGCTGTCGTCATCAATAAACTGATGATCATGTGTATTTATGCCTCTGTTGATGCTTTGGACCCATGCCTCCCTCCACAATTTCGACCAGTCCAACCTCGGTTACTTTGGTGACAAAAAGGGCTGTCGTCCACATGAGCTACTTGTTGGTTTCTACTCTAGTCGTAGCATCTGTAATGCGACGTCGCTAGAACTGTCGGGGGATGTTAGTCTTCGATGACTTCTCCAGTCTGACCTGCTAATGACCGTGTGGGATGTTTGAGTACATTTGGTAGTTTAGGATTGTGATGCAATAGTGTCATATGTTTCTGGTAGGCAACTTGTCCCTAGGCCTTTGTACTCTATATATACCGCCCGAGAGACTCAATGCAACCTATCCCACACATTATACCCAATTTACTAGGCTTTCACTTCTTTCTAGCTATATATGTGATGTTACCTTTTTCAGTCACTACTCTATGTTCAAACTTAATAAATCCCCATTTGTTGTTAAGTTATTTTGTTGTTATAGGCATTGTAGAGTGGTAGTTACTTAAGGTTATGATCTTTTTATGATTGTTTGATCATTGATTCATTGATGCCAGATTGCAAGTTCCCTAGTTTCATTTTGCCTGGTTAAAAGCATAATTTCTATTAAAAGTCATGCTAAGTGATAGCTCGGTTGATTGCACCTCCTGTTGATGAGGCTGCCCGCCTGGACTCAAACCCAGGTGCTCGCGAAGTGGTACATCCCTTAGAAGAATGGCTAGTGTGTCTTCCATCTAGCCAAGGTCTGGTGCCTCCCTATATTAAGGGCAATGCCAAGGGGTCGTCTATTGCCATTGAGTTACCTTATTTACACTACTGGCTAATCTTTTGACAGCATTTCGTGCATCAGAAAATGTTGTACTTTAATGTTTCATGTTACTTGAAATTCTCAGAAATTCAAGAACATGGTACTTGAGTTTTTTTCCCCTTTTTCAGAAGAATTTTGCTTATCTGCAACACAGTCATTCTTGAGTACTATGTTATGGTATGTAAGCAACACATTATGTGTTTAAAAGTACTTTGTTTACTGCTGCTTACCAGTGAATAGGTGTTTGCACTTATATTAAGAAGTATCTTTTCAATAAATACTGTTTCATGAAAATACACTAATAGCATTATTTTCTTTGCTAGCTCAATAGTAGAGGTTTCATATCTGTTTTCCGAGATGGTTCAACATGGACTCCGCTGCATTGCATTCTGTAAAAGTAGGAAGCTATGCGAGCTTGTACTAGCTTACACGTAAGGACATTTTTTTCTATGTACACTTTTCTATTTTTATTGAACTTTCGGGTACATGCACTTTTATTACAGATGGCCCATAACCTATGTGTTGTTGTAGGCGTGAAATTCTTCAGGAGACTGCAAAAGAATTGGTAGATTCTATCTGTGTATATCGTGCTGGCTACATTGCTGAGGTTAGTAAGTCCTATCACTAATGTGTTCTGCCATAAAAGAAAAAATTTTTTTTTTTGAAAGAAACTAATGTGTTCTGCCATTCTGCTTGTGATTTGTGGTATGCTCTAATGACTTTTGGGCTGACAAAATATGCTCTTATATTCAGTAAAAGAAAGATATTTTTCTTCTCCATGATCTCACAATTGGTTTGCTACATACAACAACAGCAACAACATAGCCTTTTAGTCCCAAGCAAGTTTGGTACGCTAGACTTGAAACCCACCAAGAGCCCCAAGTCACACGGTTCAGGCACTTCAATAGCTGCTTTCCAAGTACTCCTATTCAAACATAGATCTTTAGGTATATCCCAAGCTTTCAAATCTTTTTTTATTGCCTCCCCCCATGTCAATTTCGGTCTTCCTCTACCTCTCCTCATATTATTAGCTTGGCTTAGGACTCCACAATGCACTGGTGCCTCTGGAGGTCTCCTTTGGACTTGGTCAAACCACCTCAACCGATGTTGGACAAGCTTTTCTTCAATTGGTGCTACCTCTAGGCGATCACGTATATCATCGTTCCGAACTCGGTCCATTCTTGTGTGACCGCAAATCCATCGCAACATACGTATTTCTGCAACACTAAGTTGTTTAACATGTCGAATCTTTGTAGCCCAACATTCTGCTCCATACAACATAGCCGGTCTAATCGTCATTCTATAGAACTTGCCTTTTAGCTTTTGTGGTACCCTCTTGTCACAGAGAATGCGACAAGCTTGTCGCCACTTGATCCACCCTGCTTTGATTCTATGGCTAACGTCCACATCAATATCTCCATCCCTCTGTAGCATCGATCCCAGATACCGAAAGGTATCCTTCTTAGGCACTACTTGACCTTCCATCACATCTCCCTCCTATACAACTCCGCCAAAGTCACATCTCATGTATTCGGTTTTAGATCTGCTCAATCTAAAACCTTTAGACTCAAGGGTCTGTCGCCATAACTCTAGTTTCCTATTTACTCCCGCCTGGCTTTCGTCCACTAACACTACATCATCAGCGAACGACATACACCAAGGGATATCCCCTTGTATGTTCCTGGTAACCTCATCCCTCATCCATTGCCAAGGCAAAGAGATACGGGCTTAAGACTGACCCTTGATGAAGTCTAATTTTAATCAGGAAGTAATCTGTGTTACCATCGTTTGTTCGAATACTAGTCACAACATTGTTATACATGTCCTTGATGAGGGTCACGTACTTTGAGGGGACTTTATATTTGTCTAAAGACCACCACATAACATTTCTTGGTATCTTGTCATAAGCCTTCTCCAAGTCAATGAAAACCAAGTGGAGGTTCTTCTTCTGCTCTCTAAACCGCTCCATAACCTGTCTTATTAAGAAGATTGCTTCTGTGGTTGATCTTCCGGGCATGAAACCAAATTGGTTTGTTGATATCTGCGTCGCTCCTCGCAGGCGCTGCTCGATGACTCTCTCCCATAACTTCATAGTGTGGCTCATCAACTTAATTCCCCGATAATTAGTACAACTTTGGATATTTTCTTGTTTTTATAGATTGGTACCAATATGCTTATTCTCCACTCCTCAGGCATCTTGTTCGATCGAAAGATATTATTGAACATCTTGGTTAGCCATCCTATAGCTATATCCCCGAGACATCTGCACACCTTGATTGGGATACCATCATGACCTATCGCTTTACCCCCTTTCATCCTTTTCAAGGTTTCTCTGACCTCCGATTCTTGAATCCTCCACACAAAGCGCCTGTTAGTGTCATCGAACGAGTCGTCCAGCTGAACGGTGGTGTTCTCGTTCTCACCATTGAACAATTTATCAAAATACTCTTGCCATCTATGTTTGATCTCATCCTCCTTCACCAAGAGCTGCTCCCTCTGATCCTTTATGCACTTGACTTGGTTGAAGTCCCTTGTCTTCCTATCACGAGCCCTAGCCATCCTATAAATGAAATTTTGGGTTTCATCTCCATTAAAGTGGCTAAGTTTTTACATTGGCTCGCCGCGCCTAACACAACCCTCCTCCTTTACCAGGGCTTGGGACCTGCTATGCTGGGACACCAAAAGCTACATGTTGGATTTTTAAAAGCATAGTACGATACATACTTGCGACACTGCCCAGCACTTCAATTTTTTAAACTTCTAATAGACGGGTCTGTAATTTTCCTGCCTATGGTGCTCATTCATTTTTCTACCCTATATGTTTAATCTTCCTGCTTATAGTGCTTGCTATTTCCTCTACTCTGCCTCCACTTTCATCCATTGAAGATAGCCCTGTTCAGATGATTTGGTCCCAACCAGACAAAACCTTCTTCTCAATGCAATGATCAGCTCTCTTGTGTATTCAAGAAAAAAGAAAGACCAGTCAAAACCATGTATGGAGGTCACATACGGGTTGTGCTGGACCTGGATCAAAATCGATTAACCCAAGGTCAGCAAGATCTGTTGTGCCTGCAGGAAGTTCACAGATGTGTCACGCAAATGCGTGCCGAAGCGGAGGCATGGAGTTGATGACGCTGACAGCGGCTGTACCAACGGCACCATTGACAGAAGGGGAGTTGTCAGAAAGGACAGTGAAGATGGTGGGAGCCCTGGAGGATTGAATGGTTTACTTTGCTGCTGCCATCGTCATGACTCGTATGGGACGCGCAATTAGACCACCTAGACAGCGATTAGTCAGAGATTAATTGCTAGTCATGCGGTGACCGTCTATCTAGCATCTAGGATAACACTTACAACACACTCGCTCCCCTTTCCTGTCCATAGATGTGAGCATCAAAAAGTCAAAAACAAAATGAGGTCTTCTTTTGCATCCATTTGCAAAACCTACAAGTAACAGCAATGCTTCAGCAATTATGTTTTTTCAGGGATTTTTCCCCCTTACTAAAAAAATGTGCTGCAAAATGTTATTAGGATTTTAACAGTGACATATTAGGCATCAAAATGCTTTAAAAAAGATTGGCAGGGGAGAAAATATTTGACAATTTCACTAAATAATGGAATAATTAATAGCTAAGTGGAAATACGCAGAGCTCAAGCCCAAGGCAATCAACATGTAAGAGGCTTGCTCTGCTACTGTTACTAAGTGGAACGTGGAAACATGCAGAGCTCATTTTATTAAGATGGTGCACCGCAAGTCCATTTCTGGACTATACCGGCCAGTGTGCTGCACCACTTAACAAGTTTAGAGACTTAGAAATGTGTTTTCAAAGTTCGTGGACCTAAGTGACACCCCTTGACGCTCATGCATTTAACTCTTATGTTATTGTGCAATGTAGTATGGTCTCATAAACATTTTTTTCTCGAACGCGCAGGAGAGCTGCGTGTCACTCCATTAATTGGTAGAAAACAGTCTGATTACATGCCGACTTTGGTCTGTGAGAAATAAATTGTTTGCAGGACAGAAGAAAAATCGAGGCTGATCTTTTCGGGGGGAAACTTCGTGGAGTCGCTGCTACTAATGCTCTTGAACTAGGAATTGATGTTGGACATATTGATGCAACATTACATCTTGGATTTCCTGGTAGTATTGCGAGGTAGGTGAAGAATGAGATATTCAATGAAGCTCTATGTTTATCTTGTCACCCTGCTAAGATACAGAATTTTAACTGCAGCTTATGGCAGCAAGCTGGTAGGTCTGGAAGAAGAGCAAAACAATCACTAGCCATTTATGTTGCCTTTGAGGGTCCTTTAGATCAGTATTTCATGAAGTTCCCACATAAACTATTTGGCAGGCCGATTGAGCATTGCCAAGTTGATTCACATAATCTAAAGGTTTATAGATCTGTGTTTATTTTATTAACTAATTGGTAAGTATAAATACCTTGAGAACCGAACCCTTCTTTTTTATCTCAAAATTTGAAATTTATTACAGGTTTTAGGACAGCACCTTGCTTGCGCTGCTTATGAACATCCCTTGTGCCTGCAATATGATGAGCGCTACTTTGGCTCTAGTCTCGATAGCATAATGACAACCCTTAAAGACAAAGGTTATATCATTAATAATCGAGCTGGATCTTTCTCTTCAAGCATGTGGAACTATATTGGACCTGAGGTTTGTTCATTCTTTATTTGTATCCTATAATGTCTTATTTTGTTTTAGTAAGAGAAGTACTTTGTCTTTCTGCAGAAAAGCCCTTCACAGGCTGTAAGCATACGGGCAATTGAGCAGGACAAGTATAAAGTGATTGACAAGTTAAATAATCGATTACTTGAGGAAATTGAGGAAAGTAAAGCCTTTTTTCAGGTATATGTTCCTTCATTACACATCATCTCTGTAGGCCTCTTTCAATACTTCTCCACTGCTAGCACAACTGACAGATTAGTTGATGGATTTTTATTAGCATTAAAAAAATTATGTATGTTATTATGGACTCATATGTATGTACTGTAGATCTGCTACTATGTCTTCTGTCATCAGTAGCTTACTGTATCAAGCGTCATTTTCTTCAATTTCAGGTTTATGAAGGCGCTGTTTACATGCATCAGGGTGTCAATTACTTGGTTGAGGAACTTGACTTGGCATCAAGGACAGCCTTCTGTAGGAAAGCTGATTTGAAATATTACACAAAAACACGAGACTACACTGACATCAATGTCCTCGGAGGAGAATTTGTATGCTCTCAAGACTATTACAACTCTAGCTTCCTTTACATTTTCTTCATTATTGACTCATCCCTGGAGTGGTTTTCAGAAATTTATTTTGTTTACTATTTTTCTGTCTTGTTTATTTGACTCTAATCCAGTTCATCAAATATTATAAATTCTTGCACTTTGACTCTTCCAATATATGTTGAAGGCTTATCTTCCTACAAGTACATGTAAAACTAATCGTGTGAAGACAACTGCTCAAGCAAATGACTGCACGGTGACTACTAAATGGTTTGGTTTTTATCGCATATCAAAATCGAGCAATAAAATATCTGACAGCCTTGAGCTTAACCTGCCCCCATATTCCTTTATTTCCCAGGTGCGTAGCTTGAATATGATTACTGCATAAAATTTTGACACATTCTCACATGATTCTTACATTTCTGTATGTTGCCCAACCAGGCTGTTTGGGTGCGAATTCCCCACTCAGTAAAGATGACCGTGGAGGAAAGGAAACTAGGGTTCAGAGGTGGCTCACATGCTGCTTCGCATGCACTCTTGAATATAGTGCCTCTGTAAGTTAATTCATTGACCCCAGAAAATTTGATGTCTGGTAGATAATTTCCTAAAGAAAATTTCTTTTCTTAAACCAGAATATGGTTGGTTGGTAATGCAGTAGTGAATATTTATTTCTGGAGCTACACCAGAGACTTATAGCGCAACTGTTCAGATCATTTTTTTTGTTCTTTTAATTGTCTGTAACTTTGTGTTGTTGATTGTGCATAAATTTTCGCAGGCATATGATGTGCAGTGCTTCTGACCTAGGAACAGAATGCGCGAATCCTCATGAAACCCGTGGCATCCCGGACAGAATCCTTTTATATGATAGACGTCCAGGTGGTATCGGCATAGTATCACAGGTAATTTTTCACTGGTTGAGATTGTATAGCCGTCTATGTTGTATTTACAGAGATTGTAAATCCACTCATGGATCAACTGCAGCCGTATATATCAACAGTTTTTGCTAGCACCCTTAATTTTAACTGATCAAGTGAAAGACTAAGATTCCTTTTGTCTTTTTGTTCAAAATGTAGGCCCAAATGCTCTTCGGGGAACTCCTACTGGCTGCTTTAGAACTCGTTTCCACGTGCAACTGCACAAGTGCCGTTGGCTGTCCAAACTGTATCCAAGTAAGTCTGAAGGCATGCTGTGCATAACTGTAACTTAGGAGAAAAGACGGGGTCTTGGATCTGACATGCTCCATTTTTTTCAGTCACTGACTTGCAGCGAATATAATGAAGTTTTGGACCAGGAGGCAGCAATTTTGATTCTAAAGGTAAGTGATTTACGCGTTAAATTTTATGTGTCGCTCACCGTCGATCAATGCAGTAGACGTATAACATTGTCTTTGGTATAGGGAGTAATCGACTATGAGAGATCGTATTTTGAAGCGGAAGATGCTTCTCAGCGAAGCTGACGTCGAAGCTACGCGCCGGTTTTGACATAGGTAGTGAGGAGTGATCTGTTCATCACTGTTTTTCTCGCAAAAAAAAATGAACAGGAAAAACTTCAGCGTTGTTTGGTGTTCCTGTTTGTAGATGTAGAATTGTAGAGGTTCAGTCTGTACTAACATTTGTAGCCTCGTCATATCAAAGTTGATAGCACCCTACGACAATCGGGTCCATACATCTATTTAGAGTGCATCCAAAAAACGGCACAAATGTCATGTGGGAGCTACTGGCGGGCCCGCTCGTGTTCGGACGTGCATCACCTCCAGCCCAGGTGCCAGGTGCATTGCAGCCTAGCCGCCGGCCGTTGACCTCTCGCGCGCCGCCCACGCTCCGTGGACACGAAGCGCGCCGCACAATCGCGGTTCCTGTCTCGACGACGCCGAGAGTCGACGTTGACCACTTTTTATCCCGGGGCGGTGGCGCGGCGCCGGTGGCGGACGCTCGGGTCACGTCCTGTCCAGCCTCGTCCCACCTCTCACCATCGGTACTCCTGTTGCCTCCGCTCGGTTCCCGGCCACTCTCTGGTGCCCGGCCGGTCAGCGTCTCCACTCCGGCCGGACGCACGACGCAAAGGCACAGACTTTTGCTCCTCCCCCTGCTTTCTGCGACTGCGACCTGGCAGCTGGCCAGATTTCTTTTGCCCCCTGCCCCTGGATTGCGCGCACGGTTTGCTTTTGGGCATGGACATTAGAGCGAGTCCCCGTTGACCTCGGGGACGACAGACATGATGCCGTCCGGCCACCACCGCTAGCTACGAGCCCAAGCTCGGTTGGTGGTGCGAGTTGACAGGCGCGCGCCCCATGCACCGTCGTGCTCCGGACGTGACGCCTCGTGACGATCGGCCGCGACACGGCAGCAAGTGCAGTGCAGTGCAGTGCAGGCACTAGTGATCTCTCTCTGTTGACGAGCGTAGCGTTGACCTCGTAGCCTCCACTGACAGTGTGTGTTGTCTCCTGGAGGGATGTGTCACGAGGTGAAACCTGCATGGTGGAATAAAACTAGGGCATGGCGAGCACCCAGACTTCTAGACGTACGCGCGCGTCCTGACGTCCGCGTAGCTCACCCCCGTCCGCCTTCGTCCCGCCCCACGCGCGCACTTCGCCCCATCTCTGTGCCCGCTGGTCGCCCCTAACCCCCTCCTCTATCTCCGCGCGGGCAGCACTCAGGAGCCGGGATTAGCATCCGAGGACGAGCACGCCCCCAGCGCGCCCCGACCGCAGCACCAACGTTCGCCGGCCCCCAGCGGCCCCGTCCGCCGACCCCCGACCCGCCGCGCGCCTAGTTTGATCGACCCCGGCCGTACAGCATAAAACACTTGCAACATGAAAAACATTTGAATGCAATATAACACCCCCAGTGTTACAAGTTTGCTTAGCATCGAGATTTAGGTTCGAGAAGGATTAGCCTAACAAGTTTTCGGGTTTTAAAAATTTATAACGCACGTGAGGCGAAAAACAATTTCTAGGAACAAGGATCAAACATAACTTGTATTTAGTACTTAAATAAAAATTGAAGTACAAATTTAGTAGATGGAAATGAAACTTTAACTTTTGAAAAATAGATGTTGCTTACTAGTGTTTTGGGAGCTCAAAAATCAAATTTGACGTTAAGATAAGCTCTTTTCGTTTAAGTCGGCAAACACTTGAACTATTGTTAAAATACCATTTTTGGTGAATTATATTGAGCAAAATAGTTAAATGGTGCTTAAATATTTTGCTCCTACGGGTTAGTATAAGGTATGGACTATTGCATGAAGTATTTGTTGGTTGAAGTTAACAAGGTTTAGATCTATTAAAAATTACGACAAAAGAGTTAATGGTTACTTAGCCTCAATTGAAATCCTTAACTTTCCTAAGTATGGAAAAAGTAGTAAGACAATGCTATTTTGACATTTAATTTTTAACAAAAATGTTTACACACTAGCTGCTTGTTTTGGTATTGTTGATTGCATCAAAGTGAGTACATGAGCATGGTGTAGATCGAAGTTGTGTTGAATGTCACGTTGCTCTTGTAAAAATTGCCCAAACCTCCTTAGAACGCGTTGTAACCGCGTTGTTGGCGCTCTATTCGTGAACCGGCACTCCAGCGACGAACCCAAGTTGGCATCCTTGTATCTCCCTCTCTAGTTGCTCTCGGGTCATGACAATTGCTCCGCTAGCTAGCTGGTAGTGTCTACCTTAGGTTAGTAGGATTGGTTGAACTTCGGTTGAGATGATCGGCATCCTTTGCTTCGCTTTAAAATTCGTGCACGTCATATGTCTGGCCCGTGCGCATGGTCGCCTCGCGCAGCCGCTCGGCGTCGTGCGGCTGGCCGCGTTCCGCGCGCCACGATGCCGAGCCCGGTCGGCCTGTCTAGTTGTGGGTGGCCGTGACCGGCCCTGGCGGGCCGCTGTCATCGCCCTGCTGCGGCTGGTCGCTGCGCTACTACCCCACTACTGCCTTTCCCGCATCGCGCTGTGCTGCTGCTGCTGTCCTTCTCGCTATCAGGCGCGTGGGCGCGCCCCTGCTGCCGGCGCCGTCGCGTCGTCGTCGCGTCCACGCCCTCTATAAACCTGCGCTGCTGCTTGGCCCTGTCCGATGGCACTGCCTCTGCCGCGTGCGCGCTGCCGGCCTGGCCGTGCGCAGGGCCAAGCCAATGCTGCGGCAGTCGCCGTTTGGCTATCGTGGCGCTCGTCTCACCGCTCAATTCACCTACCCACCGAGTCACTGCCTGCCTTGGCTATCTTGTAGCGCTGCGATCTCGCCCCCACTGCCCTACCGCCCATGCGCCGTTGTCGCCTCGCTGCGCTGCGCCTGGCGCTCTTGCTTGTTCCGTTTCCGTCGGTATCCCCTCACACACCGACGCGCCTCTGTTACCGCCTCCACGGTCATGTCCCCATGCGGTTGTGCCCTCGTTGTGTCTTGGCTAGCCCGCATTAAGTCGAGGCCGCTGTCCAAAACGTAGCAGCGGCAGCACACCAATCCTTTCTTTCAAAATCACCAGCTCGGGCTTCGCAACGCAATTCCTCGCATCAGTGGCTAGCATAGGTAGTCAGCTACGCGCCCTGTGCTCCTGAAGCTCGGCCGATCACTACCGACCGACAATTTGGCCTTTTGCTCATCGCCGGTCATAGGCACCGCCGAATCGGTAGGTTGGGAGGTAAGGCATGTAGGAGTGGCGGTAGTTCGATTGCTCATAAGCCTGAGCTCGCATTGACTCCCTCTATCCGGTGCTCGCACTGTTTTGGCCAGGGTGCTCATCGTCGGTGGGGTGATGCGCCGATGTCCATCGCAGAGCGCCGCCGCCCCGCTAGTCGCACGTGGCCAGACCATTGCAGTGCTCCCCTGCTTCAACCGTTAGTAGGGCGTGCACCAGGGTTAGCTACTGATGCTCCTCCGCCATCTCTACCTTTCCGTGAGGGCGTAGGCTCGCCGGAACAGTCGTACCACCGCCGTGAATATCCGCTCGCCGCTGCAGCCCACGACAGTGCGCCTCCGAGTCCCTAACCGCCACCCATCCTTGCGCGTTAGCTGTAGATAGTGGTCGGCCCCTTACTTCCGTCGTAGAATGCCTAGGTTGCCTGGCGTAACAGCCTTATGCCATCAGCCGCTGCGTTGGCGCGCGCAGGGATCCCCAAGGACCTCCCAATGGTAAAGGAGAAAACATCCGAGGGTTTGGTTGCAAAGTTACTGATGGTAGGAATAGTACGCATAGTAGTCATGTTATTATCTAAAAGCGTGGGGAATTTTCTACAAAGCCGCCGTCACGCGCGGGCGCCTCGGCCTTGGGCCGTTGCTGGGCCGTCGCAACATGCGCGTAGCCATGTCGCACTGGGCTACTGAAAGTGCATTTGCCCCCTATGTGGGTTTTGGTGTATTGATGACATCCAGATTAGGGACTAATGTGATCTTAATGAGATATGTCGCAGCTATTAGTCCCATGAAAGATTCAAAGAGTTGATAAAGATGAAATGGTATCCCTCAATTCTTAAAGTTGAAAAGACGGACGAACTCAAAATGCTCTCCAAAGGTTTTAATTTTGATTTTGAGTTTAGGATCCGTCGTACTATAAAGAGGGATGCAAAATTATTTGGTCTAAGAAAGATAGAGTGCTCAAGCATATTAATTAAATAAAAATTGGGACACTCTAGCACTTCACGAGCACATAGAATTATTTTCTGTAACTTTTGGTGTCGGAAGTCCCGACGTAAGTCGGAACTCTCGACGATCGGAAGTCCCGACTTAAGCCAGGAGTCTCGGCACCTGTGCTTCTGACTGGCAGTTTAATTCTGACCTGATCCCTGCCGAGAGTCCCGGCAACTGCAGTGCTGGCTGTTTGGTTTACATGCGCACGTCGGAAGTCCCAACGTTTGCCGGGAGTTCCGACACTGTCTTAGCATTTGCAGTAAATTTTTAGATACGCCTATTCACCCCCCTCTAGGCATTGTTAGATCCTTTCAATTGGTATCGGAGCAAGGTCTTCTCTTTACGTTTCACCACGTGAGAAGAAATAATGTCGGAGTCTGAAAAGATGCAAGCCGTTGCCGCCGAGATGGCCAAGAAAATAGCTGAAGAGTTGATGAGTGCTCAAGCCAAGCTCTTTCAAGATGAAATGAAAAAGATGCAAGACGAGATGAGCAAGTTGAAGGAAGAATTGAGCAAGAAGGTTGATGATGCAATAAGTGGCAAGAATGATACTAGTGACAAGAATGAAGCAAACAAAGATGCCGCTAGTGATATTAGAGCCGGTGAGCATGCTCATGGAAAAGGAATATATTCACACATGAGTTTTGACTATGGACAAATCATGAAAGGTTCAACACTACATACTCCATCCGTCAACATTGGCAAGCCACCTCACTTTGATGGAACAAGATACACCGATTGGTCTTACAAGATGAAGATGCATCTCATAGCCGCAAGACTTTGGGAAGTTGTGGATGTTGGTGTGATGATTCCTACCGATGAAGATAGAGAGATAACTCTG